GGGCGGGGGGGGGGTGCAAGGTGGAAGTTTCGCCTAGGGCGCGAAACATCCTTGCACCCGCCCTGATAAGAAAGCAACCAATATGCCCCTTCTCTACTGTGTGGTGGGAAGAAATGTCTCCTTCCCAAGCCAGCATGCCTCCTCTACTGTCTTGTGCCTGCCAAGGACACCCCTGCACTATGGGGAATCCTCCGCTCCTTGCCTGTTACAGCTTTTAAGTCCCTTGTCTCCATTCTGGAACAAAATTAGGGTCACGGATCTGATTCTAAAATTCTACGTACAGTAACGGGCCTCAGTTTTATATTCCAACTTCATTTTTTATGCCTGAAAATTATGCTAGACATATATTTCTAAGTATCCAACTACATCAGCAAGTAGTTAGTAAATTCTTAGACATCTACAGTAATGACCATTATTGTGCCCACAATATTCTGCGTGCAGAAACAGAGGCCTTGTTAAGACTGTGGTGCTCTTAGCACTAAGGTGACCAGGGGTCCTGGCTAATGGGAGTGGGGTGTGTGTGTGCTTGCGGACGAGAGCAGCGTGTGGAGCCTCCTGGCCCCCCTCGCCTAGGACCCGGACCTGCTGGCTGTTTCCAGGGCACGTGCAGCACGGTGCCAGGACAGGAAGGTAGCCTGCCTTAGCCCCCCGCTGCACCACTGACCAGGAGCTGCCCAAGGTAAGCTCATGCCCCAACCCCCTGCCTCAGCCCTGAGCCCACTCCCAAACCCAGAGCACCCTCATGCACCGCAAACCCCTCATCTCCGGCCCCACCTCAGAGCCCGCACCCAGAGCCCCCTCCCACACCTTGAACCCCTCATTCCCGGGCCCAACCCCAGAGCCCTCACCCCCTCCTGCACCCCAACCCCCGCCTCAACCCTCCCACACTCCAAATCCCTCAGCCCCAGCCTGAAGACCCCTCCTACACCCCCATCTCTCATCCCCAGCCCTACCCTGGAGCCCTCTCCTGCACCCCTACTCCCAGCCCAGAGCCCCCTCCTGAACCCTGAACCCCTAATTTCTAACTCCATCCCAGAGCCTGCACACCCAGTTAGAGCCCTCACCCGCTCCCGCACCCCAACCCTCTGGCCCAGCCCAGTGAAAGTGAGTGATGGTGGGGGGGAGCGAGCCACTGAGGGAGGAGGAATGTAGTGAGCGGGGGGCAGAGCCTCAGGGAAAGGGTGGGGCTAGGGTATTTGGTTTTGTGCAACTACAAAATTGGCAACCCTACTTAGCACAGATCCTCCACAATGAACGTCAATGGGAGCGTTGCCATTGCCTTCAATAAATATAGAATCAAACCCTATGTGCCTTCAGTTAAAAGTTTCATATGCTGCATGTCACAATTCAAGGAAGCTGCACCTGTATTTCCCCTCAGTGGTCCAGGAAGGGCACCCATTCTCAGGCATCCAGCTCCCCAGCTATTGCCTCTCTTGGTTGGAGACCCAAATCTCACTCCCTTCTGACTGAGGAATTTCCAGGCTTCACAGTCCCCTGCCTTCACTGTCCCAGCATGGACAGATTGCCCAAGGACACCCACTTTTTTCTCTTCAGAGTCTGATAGTGATTGTGAGCAGATATAAGTACTACAAAGATATAGCTAAGCAAGCCTATTTTATTCTTAAGGTAAAAAGCACTTCAGAGAAAACATTTTAAAAACAGTAAAAGAACCTGCATGCATGCTAATGAGCTTATCAGGAACCTACGCCTTAATATGGATTCTGGCAGGATAAGTCCTTCAATCCTCCCACCCTAAGCATTACCTTGGGGTTACAAAGTCATAATAGCTTCAGCTCAGAAAAAGCACCTTGTCGTATTAGGCCTCGGTACGCCAAGTCCTTCCAACCTTCCCTAAGGATTGGGGCCTTCAGTGGACCAGAAATCTTGTTCTTTTGCTGGATCAGAAAAAAGGCCCCGAGTCAATTTAAACTCAGGTTATTTATCCAAAGTCTCTTCTTTGTCTGTTGGTCTCTGGAAAATCTGGTTTGAACTAGTATGCATATCTTGCGGGGAGGGCGGGATGACAAAGGCTGAAAATGATAGTTCCAACAAGTCCATACTAGCCAGCCAAATGGTTATCTTTAGATTTCAATTTTTAATTTGTTATGGTAGTGGGGGGGAGGGGTATTATAAAGTGAGAATTGTTTCCCAGCTACTTCATTTTACCACCTCCCCACCCAATCTCTCACCACTGTATATTGCCATTTTAGAAATCTGCTGCTGCTGGGTCACATCTATTTCCAAGAGTCAAACTGGGATAGCTTGCACCCTTGCTTTCATATTTTAAAAAATTAAATCTCTACCACTTGTGGTCATGAAGATAACCTTCAAAATGGGAACCAAATGTTAACTGATGTAATGATGTTTATCCCTGGGTCTGCAGGGAGCCCAAAACAATAGCTCAGAGAAGTGTGAACTTTTCCATTAATCTCAATGGTGCATTATCCCTGAAGTCTAATTATGAAAATATAATTGCCAACATTTACTATTTCACTATTTATCAAAATGCACAGAGAATTTACACACCCTCTCAATTTGACCCCTGTCTGTGTCTCTACATAGTCTTTGACCCTTTTATTTTGGAATATAAAATCAAGGGAAAAATTTCTAGCAAGATTTAGATAATTAAGCTTTGCATAACTCTGTTTTCTTTTATAAATTCAAATGCTTATGTGCCTGAATTTACATACCCTCTCAACCGATTATCCATCCACATTCGGTATTTCTACATAAGCTCCAGTGTTCTGACTTTTTGGTCATATCCAAGTCCTGTAACCTCACACTACTCATATGTCTGGTTTCTCTTTGATGTTCCCCTCTCTACAGACCTTTCTCCACTGGGGAGATACTAAGCCTGAAATTTCCCCCCTGTTTATTTTGTTCCTCAGGATGGTACAGTATTTGATGGCAGGCCCATAGAGTCACTGTCTCTGATCGACGCTGTGATGCCTGACGTGGTACAGACCAGGCAACAGGCGTTCAGAGAGAAACTAGCTCAGCAACAAGCCAGTGCGGCAGTGGCAGCAACGGCAGCAGCAGCAGCCGCGACAGCGACGACGGCAGCAACCACGACAGTTGTTTCCCAGCACAACACACCAAAGAATGGAGAAGCCACTGTGAATGGAGAGGAGAATGGGGCACATGCAATAAGTAAGCAAAAGCACGGCGCCCGTTGTCCGGTGTTCAGGTAGACTTTGGTTAGAATAATGCTCTTGCAGCAGCATGATGTTCACCCAACAGTTGTAATAGGACAGAACTGTGACAGCATCATTCCAGAAAACTATTAAAGCATGGGCATAGTCAGAACGGTTATTATGTAAACCTTACATATCGGAGGTACGTGCTACAGTGCTGGCATAGTCAGTGTTGTGTCGTCTCCCTGTACAAGACTAAACAAGCTTTACCGAACTGCAGACTCAGCAAGGCATCATAAAATGAAGCGGTGTGCGCCTTCTGCTTTGAGCAGGGTGCCAAAGCTTTGCCCACATTACCAGCTAGCCAGGTGCCTTGAGGCTGCACCCAGTTAAGATCAGTGAAACAGTGTGGCTTCCCTGGTTTAGATTTCCAAAGCTATATAGGGGATTTAGCTGCTTCCATTGAAATTGTGTGGCTAAATCCCTTAGTCGGGTGTAAGTCTCTCAAGCCCCAACTTTAGTATGGAGGTGTGTCCTGAAGAGACTACAGATCCTCTCGTCCCACCTCCCGCTTGGCCTGAGAAGAGAGCACATTATTGTATTAGAAATGAGGCAAGCCACAAAAGTCACATCATATTTCTCTGCAGTCTGCGTTTGGTCTCTTGAGCCACAGTTTGTCCATTCCCGGCATAACCATTGCAGTAATTTTAAACTGAGGGAGTTTCACTAACGTTTGTAGCCTTTTCTTGGGGCACCCAGGAAGCAGTCATACAGCAGGTCACATGGCTGTTTTGGCTTTCTCTATTTTGGGGAGTGGTAATACCTGGTACTGTGCTCTCCAATAAAATTTCACAGAGGGAGTGAGGAGGCCATGTTAGGGCTGTATCAACCAACAAGGCATGGGTTAGCATGCAGTAAATTTGGGGGCTTAGTTTTGGATAAGCAGTTGGCTAGGCAGACAGTAAAAAGAACAGCAGCAGTTTGGGCTTTAGGAGGGGAGAAGGTCCCTGAGGAGCAGCTAGCCAGATGGCATGTGTTTAGCAACTGCTGCTGTGCCAGCTGCTCATTCTGGGAGAAGAGCTGAGGCCTGAAAGTTAAGAAGACGTAGGCTATGGGGAGACCCTGCAGAGCAACCTGGGGACAGCTGGCTCTGTGAAACAAGTGCTTGCACCACTTTGGGATGCTGCAAACTTGCTCTCTCCAAGCCATTCACAATATGCCATCTTCAGATCTGAAGGTGTAAGAATACATGGGGGAGAGGCACACACAACTTTAGGATCCCTGTTTAGTTGAACTGGCCCTGTCAGTCATCCATGACCTGTTCAAACAACAAAAACTGAGAGATAAAACTCAGGACTCCTGTGTCCAAGTTACTGTAATTACAGGCCACCACTAGAAATAAAGATTTTATAATGAGATTCTAGCTGGCAATTTTGTATTAGAGGCTAAATAGTGCTCCAACTGCTGTATTTGTCTCTGTAGCGATAATGGTAACCAAAAAACCAAATTCTGTAAGTGAAATAATGAGAGGGTCGCAATCTTTGTTGCTTAGGTAGGCCGAGCTGTACACCCAGCCAGGGTCCTTGCCCTCAGTATGGCCAGGCCCCTCATCCCATTTGGACACTCAGGATATAAGGCAGGTGGAGGACTATGTTCTGCTTTGGCAGTGAATGCGAGGCCACTTGCCTTCCTCCCCAGCGGTTGCTGCTCCTAACTCTGCTGCCGTCTGTGTTTAGACTGAGGCAGACATTGCTTCACTAATAATACTTAAATCATTTTTTCAAGATTTTTCTGCACAATCATGAGCATTTGAAACATCATATTTTTTAAATGAAAGCTGGGATTCTGATGTCAGCATATGACTCTCAAACCTGGGGCCCTAAGCACATACTTATTGTGTCTATGCCTGAATGTCATGGGTGTACCTGAACCACACTGAAAAGCAGGCAAGCCTGAGGAGCCCAGCAGAGTGGAATACGTTCATACTTTGAACAGCTGCACAGTTTCCTAAGAATGGCATCCTATTTTATCCTTCCAAGGGGGCGGAGTTCAGGAAAATAGCACTGCTTTTTGCTTATTTTTACCCCAGTTTGAACCCTGAGTAGGACACCGACAAAATGAACCATCATCATACCGCTGCTGCTTTCCACCAGCAAAATACCCTTTGGCCTAGATGAATATGTGCTGTATTGGCAACCAGGAGAAAATGGGTTCTAGGCTAATTTCTTCTACTAATTGATTTTAGTAGTGCTTTGCCTTTCACAGACCTTAGTAGTTAGAACCTTATGGGTTCCACACACAGCGTAGAGAACCCAGATCTCTAATATGACAGACCAGTTCTCAGCCACTTAGCCATGCTGTCTCTCAGAGAGAGTCTGACAAATATTTGCTCTTGGCTCTGTTTTCTATAAATAGGGGCTACTCCTCCATATGCAACATCTTTAACCTATTATTTCAGTGTTAGTGGCTGGTGCACAGGGGGTAACAGCTTCTCCTGTTACCAGCTAAAGTAGTTAGTCCATTAGCTCAAGTGGTAGAAGGTTGTGCTGCAATGCTGAAAATCTGGGGTTAAAATCCTGCCGATGACACATGATGGCTGTTACAGTTACACACAATATAATTTGGGTTTTGGGAGGTGGCTTGTTTTTCAAAAACAAAAACAAAAGAAAGCTCTTTCAGTTGCAAAGCCAAGCACTCAAAAGTTAGAAAGCCAGATTTAACGTCACCCATCCAACCTTAATTCAGCCCCCATGTGCATTATGATACACCCTTCAATTATATGATCTGAAACTGTTTTGTCCACTGGACCCCTGCCTCAGTGTACAGCATGGACAGTGCTCAGAGAATGAGGCAGCTAGTCAATATTCCTTTGTATTCTCATTTTTCAGTGTGTGGCCTCAGGCCTTATATACTGTACACCATCCCAGAGAAGGAGTGTACAACATATTACTCTTAAGGGAACAACATAAAGCTTTTTAATATAAATGTGGAAATATACTGTTTTTAATAAATCAGAAAAATTATTTTTATAACGCCAACTTTAAACAACAGATTGAATAAAATATCAATATATTTGATGAAAAGCATCAGGATTTTATTAAGCATGGCAATGTTATCTATGGAGGAAAAGCTATATAAAGTTTCAATCACAAATAAAAAGACAGAACAGTGTGGTCAATGACACACAATAGAATGTTTGATTTGTAAAATGTTGAGAGCTTCAAGCTACAGGACAGCCTACATTATCAAGCCATATTTCATGTGTCTGTAACAAAAACCCCCAGAGCACTGATGTTCTGATATTTCTTTTTTTCTACAGATAATCATTCAAAGCCAATGGAAATCGACGGGGATGTTGAAATACCTCCTAACAAAGCAACAGTCCTTCGGGGCCATGAATCAGAGGTGTTCATCTGTGCCTGGAACCCTGTCAGTGACCTGCTAGCGTCTGGGTAAGACAATGACCGAAACCACTTTCCAGATGTATAAAATACCATCTGTTACAATTAGGATTTATTTAGAGATGCAAAAACACGAGAGACCACTAGAGTTTGATGGACCACTTCTACAGTTTCTCACGCTAGAACAGTATCAATACGTTGTCTGAAAGAGTTGTGAGGTGATCCAGCACTTCAAACACTTGCAGAGTTAGTATGTGCTGGGTTTGAGGCCACTCTACATTCGTGCATACCATGTGGCTTGCTTTATAGTAGTACATTTTAAAGATGTCTTTGGAAGATTCTCACTGGGCTCATGTTCACTTTTATTACACAAGCATGAGCACTCTCACTACTCAGAAAAGCTCTTTGTTCATCCAAGCTTTGATGGGGGGAAAAGAACCAAGACCCTCTGAAGTAAGACCCATATGCTGATAAGACCCTGGCAGCTGTTGCCAAAATCCTTATTTATCCGCACTCAGTACTCAATAATGTATGCCAAACTGAAAAAACCTGCGCACTTTTGGAAAATTGGCATAGAGAAGATGTTGGAGGCAAATCCTCATGAAAGGCTCCTATCCCAGAATACAAGAAAACAGAATTGATGCCTTCTTCCCTTCTCCACTCAAAGACAGAGGAAATCTGTAATCTGCAGAAAGCAGAATTTCAGGAGGATCAGAGCTTTCCCCTTTTGAGTCCTTGCAATCATAAAACATGAGAACAAGGAACTAGAAGGGAAAAAATAAATACCTGCATTAACTTGATTTCAGAAAACTAAATATGAGGCTGGGAGAAACTGAACAAAATATATATGGCTGTGTAGATAGAAACCAGCCATAAGAAGTTGCCAACAGCAAACTGAGTGTAAAAAAAAAAAAAAAAAAAAAGGTTTTATTTTGTGAAAAATCAGGTGAACGGGAGACTAGATACAGGTAGAAAAACATTTGTATTATGAGATTTCTTCAAGGTTCAGAAGGTCTGAAGTTTGAGGAATGCACAGAAACCTGCTGAAAATCCTTCTTTCCTAAAGAATTAAAGAGCTCAACCTTAAAAACACTTAACAGCTTATCTACTTACAGTTTATAGGAATAAGCTATACTGCCATAAGCACTGGTATACTGGTATAGCTGTGTCCATGCTATAAGGTTTTACTGATTTAACTATGTTGGTTTCTAAATTGATATAGTTATAGAAGTACAAGCACTGTGTGTAGACCAGCCCCTCATATTTAGATGCTACCAAGTTCTTGCTACTTAGATTGTAAACTCCTTGGGGCCAGGGTTGTCTTTTTGTTATGTTTTTGTACAGCACCTATAACAGGCACTACCACAATACAAATAATAAACTATAGTAGTAACAATAAAGGAGGGTGCCCATATAAGGTGTTTGCAGCACCCTCCCTAGCCTGCCTCCTCCACACACTCACCTTCCAAAACTTCAGTTATCAACATAGGGATAAGATCTCATGTCTAGCAAGGACCAACCCAGACCTGTGTTATTACTCCACTCAGTACACCCCCCAGCGTATAGTTTAGGGGTGCAGAAAAGGAGACTTACTCAATGTCAAAAATATTTTATTGGTATTAAGGAACAACAGTATTCCGTGACAAAGCGGAATGGATATTTTCAAGACACAAGAGTTTCTTTTTTGTTTTGGTTTGGTTTGGTTTGGTTTTACTAAGGCCAATGAAGCAGTGAAGTACATAGAATATTACTTACCTAAAGCTATCAACCTCACAACATTAAATGAACCTGAACTAAAATTCTTCAAAAATATTGCGATAGTACCACAATACTTGCCTAAATGCTGTGAGTAACCATGACTAACATTAAGTTAAACCATGATCTAACAGTGCATGTTTGAAAAGAGGGAACACCAAGGATTAAGGTGCAACTATTAGAATTTAAATTAACCTTAGTAAATTATTGTTTTGGTAAATGGCTATCTATCAAACATAAGAAATGCTCTCTTTCTATTTACTGGTAAATTTACCCAGAGTGTCATATATTTGATTTCTGTGGCAATCTTTGGATGTTAATAGAGTTGTACTGATTCATTTAGGAAATCAGTCCAGGGAAGGATAGTATGGATTAATTCCAAGTATAGATGTTCTGTATCATGTGTTAAGTACAGTTGTAACATAGAAACTTACAAGTGTAAGCAGTTGGTATTAAGTATCTTCAAATGGGGAAACAAATGAGAATAGTTTCCTGGGCTTAAGATATCAAAGTTAAAATTCTTCATACAAAACTAGGGCTGGCTGCTTTAAATATATAATTTGGTATAGTCAGGATCTTAGACACCCAATGAAAAGATCTAAACTTTCCTAAACTTTTAGTTTTGAAATAATATAGAATGTTGCATACTACAGGAAAAGCATCTCTTGAGTTCCAGGACTTGCAAATTAAGGAAAATGTGGATGGACAGTTGTTTGAGGCTTAAATTCAGAAGACGCTGACATCCTTTTAAATAAAAGATTCCCATTTCATCCATTTGAAATCACAAGGAATTCAGTTAGAAGATACATGCTAGTAATACAACTGGGATGAAATGAAAAAATAGCATTTTACTCAATGTGTGCCCCTCAGACTAGTAAAACCAATTCCTTTTTTTTAATAAATTTTGTCACTGATTTTTGAAGCACATAATCATATACATACATAACTTGCAAATGCGATCAAATAATACTGAGACATGCTTACTAATAGCAATAATAAAGGGCATATAACTAATTTAGATTCATAATTTAAAAATACAATTTTAGCCTAGACACAAGAAATAGTACATCTCTGTTCAGCCAGCATTCAGGTACTATAGCAATGAATGCAGTATTAAAAATCTAGATGAGATAACTGGTATATAACATATGGAAATTATAATACCAGGCTGTAAAACTATGTAGCCCAATGGTTTGAGTCTGACAATGTGCCACTGCACAAAAAGTATGGATCAGCAATTAGGATACACTGTCCTCAGCACAATGATGCAGTTTGTCATGAATGGGTAAGAGCTATGCTATAGGGTACTACTAAATATGAGGCAAGACATTTCCCCAGACTACTGTATAATGGTAGTGCACTTTCGCTTTCACAAGTTCATCTTTCCAAAGAAGATCATTCAGGTAATTCAATGTGCCAATATTGAACTGTTGGGGTCTAAAATAACCCATTTTTTCTGGTATAGCTTGTTTTGTTCATGAGGGGTAATTTTACCATCAGTACGTAGCAGAAATTTGCCAGCATAGCTGCATCCACACTAGGAGTGCTTTGCCAGCATAGTATACAAGTAGTCCTATACTAGGAAAGCACTCCTAAGGTAAACTTGGCCATCTTTAGATTTGGGACAGGGACCATCTCTTGTTCTGTGTTGTACAGCACCTCCTGGACCATGACTGGGGCTCCTAAACACTATAGCAATACTACTACTACTACTACTAAACTTTTTACAGACGGTGGGGGCATTTTGCAGAAGACAGTATTTAAAAAAAAATAGGGCTGTCAAGTGATTTAAAAAATCGTGATTAATCACACTGTTAATAATAGAATACCATTTTTAAAAATATTTTTGGATGTTTTCTACATTTTCAAATATATTGATTTCAATTACAACACAGAATACAAAGTGTATGCTGCTCACTATATATTAATTTTTGATTACAAGTATTTGCACTGTAAAAAAACTAAAGACATAATATTTTTCAATTCACCTAATACAAGTACTGTAGTGCAATCTCTTTATCATGAAAGTTGATCTTACAAATGTAGAATTATGTACAAAAATAAAACAGTGTACAATTTTAGAGCCTGCAAATCCACTCAGTCCTACTTCTTGTTCAGCCAATCGCTCAGACAAACTCATTTATTTACATTTGCAGGAGATAAATGCTGCCTGCTTCTTGTTACTGTCACCTGTAAGTGAGAACAGGCGTTCTTGTGGCACTTTTGTACCCGGCGTTGCAAAGTATTTATGTGCCTGATATGTTAAACATTCGTATGCCCCTTCGTGCTTCTGCCACCATTCCAGAGAACATGCTTCCATGCTGCTGACGCTCGTTAAAAAAACAATACGTTAATTAAATATTGACTGAACTCCTTGGGGGAGAATAGTATGTCTCCTGCTCTGTTTTACCCATATTCTGCCAAGTATTTCATATTATAACAGTCTCAGATGATGACCCAGCTACGGTGACCAGATGTCCCGATTTTATAGGGACAGTCCCGATTTTGGGGGCTTTTTCTTATATAGGCTCCTATTACCCCCCACTCCCATCCTGATTTTTTACACTTGCTAGACCCAGCACATGTTGTTCATTTTAAGAACACTTTCACAGCAGATTTGACAAAACACAAAGAAGGTACCAATGTGAGATTTCTAAGGATAGCTACAGCACTCGACCCAAGGTTTAAGAATCTGAAGGGCTGTCCAAAATCTGAGAGGGACGAGGTGTGGAGTATGCTTTCAGTAGTCTTAAAAGAGCAACACTCCGATGCGGAAACTACAGAACCCGAACCACCAAAAAAGAAAACCAACCTTATGCTGGTGGCATCTGACTCAGATAATGAAAATGAACCTGCGTCGGTCCTCACTGCTTTGGATTGTTATCGAGCAGAACCTGTCATCAGCATGGACACATGTCCGCTGGAGTGGTTGAAGCATGAAGGAACATATGAATTTTTAGCCCATCTGAAACTTAAATATCTTGGGACGCCAGCCACAACAGTGCCATGAGATCGCCTGTTCTCACTTTCAGGTGACATTGTAAACAAGAAGCAGGCAGCATTATCTCCTGCAAATGTAAACAAATGAGTTTGTCTGAGCGATTGGCTGAACAAGAAGTAGGACTGAGTGGATTTGCAGGCTCTAAAATTGTACACTGTTTTACTTTTGAATGCAGGGTTTCTTTGTACATAATTCTACATTTGTAAGTTCAACTTTCATGATAAAGAGATTGCACTACAGTGTTTGTATTAGGTGAATTGAAAAATACGTTTCTTTAGTTTTTTTACAGTGCAAATACTTGTAATAAAAAATAAATATAAAGTGAGCACTGTACACTTTGTATTCTGTGTTGTAACTGAAATCAATATATTTGAAAATGTAGAAAACATCCAAAAATATTTAAATAAATGGTATTCTATTATTGTTTAACAGTGTGATTAATCGCATGATTAATCATGATTAATTTTTTTAATCGCTTGACAGCCCTAATACTAATTACAGTCAAAGGGCCAAGCCCTAATGTTGTAGGCATGTGGATGCAGGAGTCTGTCCAAGGACAGATAATTGCATGATCAGGGCATTAGGACCAGCTACAACAAAGTCTATAGCAGGCAACTGGAGAGGAAATGAGAGTGGGGACAAGGAAAATAGCGAGAGGAGCATGTGGTTATATACAAGCTATCAGACAATGTAAGTATGATTTAGTTATTCCTAGGTCTGATTCAGTACATTTTCTCATTGTTTGGGAGTTACCAATTTATTTTGACACTTGATTTTCACTTTTACAAAAAGTTGTATTTGGTTATTTATTTATTTTTTCTGTCTTTATTTATTCACATTTTTACTGAACAGCAGTAAAAGAGCGTCCATCCAATGATCGGGGGACCCTGGATAATATCGTAAAAATAAACTAAGAAGGAATCTAACCGGTCAATTACCACAAGTCAAATTAAATCAGATAACTCAGCTACAATATAACAAAAATTATCCCGAAACTGTATCTGAAGATAAGCAATAACAAAATCTGAAGGGGTTGAGCAAGACAATTAGCCAGCCAATTTCTTCATACGTGTAGGGCTATTTTAATACAGTACTGACAGCCATGGAATGGGGATTTTATTTGCCCTATAAGTACAATTCTGGAGAGATCCTCTTCCTTGATTTATAATGGGGGCTGGAGAACATGCAATTAAAAAAAAAAAGAATAAGAAAAGACAGTCTTTCAGAACTAAGCTTCCCTAAAGTCTGGCAATACTCCACCCAAGAGAAAAACAGTACAGTACTCCTATTACTCAAGTGTTCAGGATTTGCATGCTGGAATCAACTTCTTTATCATGCAGATAGATTGCTTCAGAGGGGTAAGGAGATTAAATATCTTCCCAAATCGTGCTTGAACCATGGTCCTCTAATAATGCAGGGTTCACTGAATCATTCAGCAGAAATCAGGATACTTTTCCTGAGCAGAGAATACTTTTCCCAACAACAAAGGGAAGACACACAAATACCCCTGCCACACACTGATAGGCCTATTGAGCTACTCTGCAGGGACACATAATAGCTTATATAGTAGGGGAACGGAATAGAAAAACAAAATTAAAATACTGGAAAATATAATTGCCCAAGCTGAGCCTGAATACTGAATAAATAAAACCACTGAAAGTAAAAATAAGCTCTTCTATAATTAGCAAATAGGAAACTGAGTTTGACAGGAACATTGCTAAAAAATTGATTTCAAACATTGGTACAAACTGGGTTATTAAAATTAGGACAATATTAGCTCCGAATCTTACATAATGGAGAAGCCAACAGGAGCATTGAGGCAATTTCCCAATTCGTTTGCATGTTAAGCCATTATCCCACTCTTATTAATAAAAGATTCATGTCCTATAAACAATTATAAAGCACCAGAGCTAAAAATGATTCTTAGCTTTTAAACTTCATTAAGTAATCTAGCCAATCTTCCTAAACTGCATTCTCTATTTTCAGTGTCTCAGACTTGAGAAGTTACATTAAAAGTTCTTGCCACAGCAATCTCAGTTCTTCCTGAGGGCAAAACTCCTGACCCAAAAATTTTACTAGTCATTAATAGAAACAAAAAATGCAGGAATGACAACTGGAAATGTTCTGTTCTGTCTGTCAGTGCTCCAGTCTTATAGGGCCCGATGGTAGCTGTCCCCAAACTGGCCCTAACATGGCCATGTGATGAATTAGAAGGAGTGAAACACAGATGGCCCTTCTATGTAAATCAAATATTAAACAAAATGTGAATCTATAGAGTAATTGCATTTGTAAACTCTGATCTAGAAATCAGGGACAAAGAATAATGAAAAGAAATAATGATTAATATAGCAATTGACCTTCATTCAGATTTCAAACTAGCTAGATCAACATTGGTCACTTAAGACATCATTTGAACTTAATTTGGTACTTTATCCTTTTTAAAAAAAAAAAATGTTGAAAACATTTTAGTTATCAACTCCAAGAAAGCATTCAGTTCAGTTGGGTGGGATTTTCTTTTATCTCAAGAATTCGGTCATGAAAGAGACGCACTTTTCTTTCCCTGTAGCAATATATCTCCTAAACTTCATTATTAAAAAGATGCCCCAAAAAATGAGGTACAGACTGGAGTTATATGCAATAAAAATATTTTACATGTCTGAATTCCTGAAAGTATAAGAAATATTCTAATTCTGTATCAAATTCAACTTTCTGCATATAAATGAAAGTAACCCAGTGGATAAATACGAACAATTCTTTGTGCAAACTGATTGCAAAAAGGACAAGTCCCAATAAACTGGAAAGAGGAATCTCTACCATATTGTTGTAAATTGATTTCCAACCTCAGAGACTTTCTTCCACTGGAAGATAGTCTCATGTAAATCCAATGCAAATATGAGGATTAATATAGAATCTGACTTCCTCTCCATGCTTTTCTCAAGATAGAGGGTCAAGACTTCAGACTTCAGGAAAATGACCAAATTAGATAAGACTCAATGCATCCAATGGATCTTGTACACCTTACTTTGGTCTCTAGCAAATACTAATATGAGTGTCCCTAGCTTGCTGTCCATCCCTCACCAAGGAACAATACATTATTGTGTCAATAGCTATTTTACTGCTGCAATTTATGGAACAGATCACCAGGTCTGTCCAAGTTGCACTCAGCGCAGCACCCTGCAGGCAGCGGAGAGGGAAAAGTGGAGCTAAACCACCTTTTTGCTCCCCTAATTCTGGGACTGATTTGGGGCTTGCTTGGTCCATGGCTTAATTTAGAGCAAGTGGACCATTCTGCCAGCCAGGCATCACTGGAACACAGCCTGCTCCTGCCCCATTCTTCACCTTGGAATGCCTTTATAGAGTGGGGAGGAATGAGTGGCATAGAGTCAGCTGTGTTGGTTCTAATATCACCAAATTTCCCCTGTATGACAAGGGAATTTCCAGATGCTACTTTAAGTTTTAAATCCCCTTTCTGCCACTGAAGTGGCCCATAAAGGGAGCTGAGGAGCTGACCCCCTGTATGTATTGGCTTTTTAGTCAGGTTTTCACAAATTATTACTTATTTGTTTATAACTTTTGCAAGATTGTGTGATGTGTAAGGTGATACAAAGGTGAGCAGCGTGTGAGCTGCAAAATATTGAGGGCGAGAGAGTGTCTTGCTTGCAAAATGCTTTGGAAAAAATATTGGTGAAATGAGAAGCTGATTCAAAAAAAGCTTTCTTTACTCTTAGTTTAAGAACTTAAATAGGATTATTCTCATTGAAAACATAAAAGATCACCAATATGTGAATCGGGGTGCAGGGTGGGGGAGTTGAAGAGCAGAGGAACTCACTATTTGTTGCGCTTTTTTTTTTTTTCTTTTAAGTTTACGATGTTCTCTCAGTGTAACCAGAGATTTCCACCTGCTATGTAAGATCATCTCATTACGAAGTGTTCATCTCAGTGTGTTTGTTTTTGTAGATCTGGAGACTCAACTGCCAGAATATGGAATCTCAATGAAAATAGCAACGGTGGTTCCACTCAGCTAGTTTTGAGGCACTGTATAAGAGAAGGAGGACATGATGTCCCCAGCAATAAGGATGTGACTTCATTGGACTGGAATGTGAGTTAACTTCTGGGGCCATTCACAGTTTTTAACTGAATGAACTTAATTCTGATGCAATCATAGTTACTATGCCTTTATAGTTAAGGTGATCAGAACGTCTTCTCTACCCTACTAACTTCCTTCTTGTTTTCAGAAACTCATAATAGACTAAACTTTCATCGGTCGGGCTGAAATTTTCTAAGGTTGTTGATTTTCCTTAGGCTTAATAATTAGTGTGTTTATATATTTATTTTGGGGATTGTGAGTAAAAATGGCTCAACTGTTTTTAAGGATGAGGGAATAAAAAAGGAAATGTCAGTGGGACTCCGTATCAGCACAAGATCCCAGCTGGATCCATTGGCTAATCATGACTATTATTACAGTGCCCCAGTGTGAGCTAGGCACTCCGCAGAAGAGAAGGGTAAGGCCCTTCCCCAAACAGCTTGCCATCTAAATTGGAGACTTGACATAATGAATGAAGGTGATGCAGAGTAGAGGAAGGTCAGGGTTAAGAAAGAAGACAAAGATGAAAGATAGCGAGTGTTCTTGATTCATTTGCTGTGGGCTCTGTGGCAAAGCGGAATTTTCAGAAAGGATTTAAATAGGGAGATGCTAGTGACTTGATAGACCAGCATAAGGAAATAGAGAATTCAATGCATAGGGGGAAGCATGAAAACAGGCACAGAGACAATTATGAGAGAAGTATAGGGTGACCAGATGTCCCAATTTTATAGGGACAGTCCCGATATTTGGGGCTCTCTCTTATATGGGCACCTATTACCCCCCACACTCTGTCCTGATTTTTCACTCTTGCTATCTGGGCACCCTAGAGAAGTAGGAGAAATAGATAGGAAGGGGCATCCTTCAATGGGCGATCATCTTATTTAATTTCCGGACCTATTGTGATACCAATATTTATCCTGAAGTTTATTCTAGTATTTATGTAAGCAAGCCTTTCTAATGAAACACTCAATGTGATCCCAGATTGTTACTGAGTTTTCCAAGGCAAGTAAAAACAAAGGAAACTGGTATCTTATAAGATGCAAATTTGGACAGTATTTGTGCATCTTCCACCTGACCTTTCTTTCCCCTCACTCATGTTCTCTTTTGTAATTGTCACTTACGCATTAGCTAGCGTGCAACTTGAATGTATGTCCCAATAAACCTAACCTAGGTTTTGATTTCTTTTCTACATCTTTCTATATTTGAGTTAAGTGCACAGCTATTCTGTCTCACTCTTTTTGGAGGATAGGAATGGACACATCTGTTGATGATTATTTTATGCTTTTCTTAGCAACGTTTTATTCTGGATGCTAATAAAGCCATCTGCCATCATTATTTAATTAAATCCACAATATTCATCATTGTCCAGTGTGAAAGTTTCACACTGGTTAATGTCTAAAAGCCAGTAGTTATTGCATTCTGTTTTCATATGGATTGGATTAGAAACATTATAAAGAAACATGCAAATTAGAATTTATTTGCTAAATGCTCTAAAATCCCTGTTTCTCAACTAAAAGATTCCCATAAAAATCATTATATCTCAGTTTTGTCTCAATCCTTTTGGCTAAGTTATTCTATTTGACGGAGCAACTCAATTTAATGGTTCATTTGCGGTTTTTATTCTCTCGTTGTTGCCAGCAGTACTAACCTCTAATTTAGGATGTAACTGAGTAGTGATACTTGCTTTCTCTCTTTGTGGGTTGTCAAATTTCCCTTACTTCAGAAAACACTGACTTGAGGATGAGTGAATCAGGGCTGATTCAGTATAATCTCTAGTAACCTTTCATTTATATTGGCTTTTCCACATCCAACAGAGTGATGGAACACTATTGGCTACAGGATCATATGATGGTTTTGCAAGAATATGGACAGAAGATGGTGAGCCATTCAGCAGTTATTGTTTTCAGTGATTACAAATGATTAATAGTACTGTATTCCATCTCCCAGACAAATCATAACATTAAAATTTTTTGTTTTTACATTTCAGGTAACCTTGCAAGCACCTTAGGTCAACATAAAGGTCCCATATTTGCTCTGAAATGGAACAAAAAGGGGAATTACATTTTAAGTGCTGGTGTTGATAAAGTTAGTATTAAAAATATGTAACTTTGATGTGTGAACGTGCAGATGCTCTGAGCTTATATTGTTTGAATTTCAACATCTCCTTCTGCTTTGGAAATTCAGCAAAGCTTGCCTAATTTGTTTTGTTGGGCCTTGATTTCGTCAGAGTAAGTGACTAACTACTCTCCTGTGGCTGGATAAATTTGTACCACGTGACATACGGTTTTAACAAATCCTCACTTTGCTGTCTGTCGCATTGAATCCCAAGCATTGCTCAGACAAAGGAAGTGAAAATCTCATCCCCCAATTTATGTATATACATTTAGTCTAGCACTTGTAAATACCTCAGGAGAGGGAATCTGTTTTAAGTTCTCTTGTGCCCTCTAGTTCATTTCAACAATCAGACAAAGAAATCTGAGTAAAGAATTTATGGTTTTGTTTGCAAATCAAGCAAAATCTGGTGATTTCATCTCAAAATCAGGCACAATGTGACAGCTTCAGCTGAGTGTCCTGTTTGAGTTAGAGATTGAAAACTCAAATTACTACTGAGGGGGGAGCACAAACCCATTTGAACTGTAACTGGAAATTAACCTCCCACAAATCCCTGTAAATGGAAACTTTTACTCCTTCTAGTGCTATAGTAACTTTTGTCTCCCAACAGCAGAACTATTATTCCAGTGGACATACTTTCTCTGTAACAGCAATAGTTCTTTAGATGGTTACATTATCAGTGAAATGCGGCATCCCATGTTTAAGTTCTGGAAGTATATTTTTCTAATACATTTACAATTCACTCAAAAAGTAGTGCTTAGTTCTGTAGGGATTTTGCTTAAATTTGCTATGCAATAGATCCATAGGAAGCAAATTTTACATTCATCTGGCCCACCACGACGACGGTACACCATTTATATTTTTCTGTTAGATTAATTTCTCACATGGTGACTTAGTAATGATATGTACAGTATCCGTTGGGTTTTCATAATACAACTCAGATTGCATCATGCAAAAGGGGGGAAGTCTCATCTAAAAGAGATGCTAATTGAAATAACTGTAGCAAAACGCTCAGAAAGATCAGCCTCATAAAGTTGCTCAGAGCTATCTTCTGGCTAATACATTTAAGAGGGAACCCACGCTCATTGGGTTCATTGCTGCCTCTGTAGTACTGACAGTTCAATATCTACAGTTGTATTATTTTCTCATAACAGGTGAATTGGAACAGATATATATGTATACATCTTTGCAATAGCTGAAGGCTCTCAGCAGTCAATAATGTTATCAGGGTGTCTTCTAGAATTGCTCTGCAGTGAGCTTTCTTTTTTCCTATTACTTTCCAAGAGGAATGGTAACTAATCTTTATTTCTTCCTCTGAACACAGACAACAATAATTTGGGATGCTCACACAGGGGAAGCTAAGCAGCAGTTTCCTTTCCACTCAGGTAATTACCATTTATATTTTGTTTCAAAATATTTTTTTCCTTAATTTTGGCAGTCTGAAAATATCCCCAATGCAACAAGATATGCATGAAAGTCTAACAAATTCTAACCCACACTTTGTGCCTTACTTTTCATGAGCTTCAATGCCCTGGTCTTGTCCTCTGATCAGGAGAAGAAGGGGTTCTGTGAGAACCAATCCTATAGGCTAGAGTGAATTTGCCTTACTGAAATTCTAGTAGAGGATTATTTCCCAGCCATAATTACCTAATAGGAATTATTCATCTAGCTTCTACATGCTTGAGCTGGATTAGGGTTAACATGGGGACCCTGCCTTTTAGGAATTGTCATTTGTTCATTTTTTTGTTTTTGTGGGGACCTCCAGCATTTCTTCTCCACCTGCTTCTAAAGTCCCATGCTGCGAAGCACTAGATATAGATCTCTCCAGAGTTTCCAAGCACTGGCCAAAGGGGATTCTCAAACTACAAAACTCAGATCCAGGGGAGGAATTTGATCACTCTGAAGTCTGATCTGGGATTTTGGTTTGGCCCATTTTTAGAGGTCAGTTGCTAAAGCCAGGTCTGGGTTGAGATTCTGAAATCTGCCACCCCAAAAAGTGTGATGGTGTTCAGATCTGGGGTTTTGGCCCTGTCTCTACTAGACAGTGGCAAGAGATGCTCCCTCTTCCACAGCAATTGAGCATGCTACCAAGCGTCTTGGGCAACAAGCAAGCTATGACCTAATCTTGGATCCCCACGTGACCGGTTCTACAGGGTGATATAGTTGAATTCAAAACCTAACATTGGAAAAATGTTTAAAATTAAATATTTTATTAGGCATAGTCATATAGTGATATATCTTCTTATCAAGCTGGCATTATAATTAGTAACAAAATCCAAATTCTGGCTCTAGAAGTATTATAGTTCCCCTTGGGTTTAACCACAACTAGCTAATGCATTTTTAAACATCACTGTCTTCATCTAAACTAGGTGCTAAGTTTATGTTTAAACACCTGTTATTTAGCATGTTTAGTTTGCTAAATAGCTAACATTTAGTCAGCTAACATATTTAAAACATCACTCATTTTCCCATTTTGAACAACCTATAACCATTACTGGCCTCCGATGCAGGTAGAAATTATTATTCCTCAGAAAACACAAAGTATTCTGATAGTCCATGTTCCTATCAGATTTTCACTGCTTTTTGCCACTTATCTTATAAAACCGTGCACTAAGCTGCCTGCATGGAGAAAGCAGTCTCTGTTTGCAAATGTACTCATGTTATTCATTGTGGAATTTTATTTTTTGTTAGTAGTATTCTGTAAAATCACCCTCTGCACTGTAAAGTGATGTACTGATGAAAAACCTACACCCTCTTAGCTCCCTAGAATAGTGTTCCTACTGGATAGGAGTACATATGAAACAAAGTCATCCTTCAGGAATGATGTGCATCATACACACACCTCATGGTTTCCTTTTATATTAATTGGTAACTTGATTAGGTCTTCCAACGTAATGTAATAATCTCTATCCGCATTACAAAGAGTTCAGGACATATCTTCCACCATCTGTGCTATGTTTTTCACTGGGCTCAGGAGGTGTGAATGAATGACGGTTGTGTGGGTGCTAATATTATTGTTCATTTCAGATTGATTATGTTAATTTTCAAAATGGAATAGAACAATTATGAATACTGGATGTCCCTGGGATCTCCACTATTGCCTGGCCAATAACCTATAGGTCTAATCCAAGGCTCATTTTAGTCACTGGGAGTATTTCCATTGATATCAGTGGGCTTTGGATCAGATCCTTATGAGAGGCCTAGGTTTGGCCTTGCAGCCAACCTTCCCCAGAGCAAACTGTTCTGTGGCAGGAACTTGTGCTCTGTCTAGGGAAGGTCATATATCACCTCAGGAGTCTAATGTAGACAAGGCACACTGCCTTTTACATATACTAATCAGGGCCATTTAAAACCTTGGGGGGGAGCTGAGACTTTAACTTGACCTGCTTAGCATGTGTTAAAATCTGTACTGCCTTGTCTACACTAGACTTTTAGAACATGTGAGTGAGGATGTTAGCCAACACATCCTAACAACATTTTTATCCTAATCTAGATGAGTCAGAGTCCTATTCTACCTGGGCCTGGAGGCCTCCATGCCCCTGAAGTTCCCTGACAGATTGGTGAAGTCTTGTAGGTCCAAACCTAAAACTCCCATAACTTTCACAATGGGCTCGTAGGTATCTTGCATGCATCCACGATTTGATTAGCCCTTTTATAAAGATTTACTACTATTCTTCCCAGCCACCAGATCAGACTTCAACTAGAACACGTTCCCAACGTTCATTTCATTAAAATTCAGTGAGAGAATCCTGTTTTCAGATGGATCGATGTTTGAACGCACATACAAAGCACAACCCAAGCGTAAATTGGTACTGGGTCACTAATGAGAGGAGTTTAGCTAATTGATTTTTACAGTATGTCACTGGTAGCCTTATAATAGCAAATATTCTTTTATTTTGGGTGCTCATTTGTGGAAAATTTTCAGTGAATGCCTGCGCCGTATTTAAGAAAGATCATTCTTAACACAACATATAAATTACAGTATTAAACACGTAGCTAGGAGTACAAGGAAAAGCTTTGGTCTTGTCATTTTCAGTGTCATGCAAAAATCCCCAAATGCCTTGATAGCATTGTCTAAATAGTAATGCATAGCTAGGTGTGTGATTATTCTGAATACCCATATGGCTTAAATGTGCAATGAGGCGTGAGGGCAGAAGCCAAATGCCTTGAACTATGAGGAAGTTGTTGCTTTCTAACTGCAATTCTTGAAATGTGTAGTTGTTGCTTTTATTAAATGTTGTTGTAACCTTTTTTTTTTTTAGTCAAGTTACTCATTTTCATACAGCATACTTGGTTATTATTTCCAATACATTTTATTTACTTATTTTCTGAGTAAACATATGATTCAATAAAATAAACCACACCAGTGAATATGAAATCCTGCCAATATTATCGTGTCACCCCAGCAACCCGTTTATGATTCAAATGACACTTCCTTTGTAATTCCATAATTTTAGGTGCACGCAGCTTTCTGAAAATTACTTTTGGACCGCAATTTCTCATTCTTTCTATTAGCCCCAGAAAAAGGGTACGGATGTTGATTAGGATACATCTTTATTGACTTTAAAACAATGAAGCAAAACTGTGCAGCAGAAAAATAATAGCAGAGAAACACTGTGAAAACAGAATCCTGGGCTGCTTCGTGATCCCCTCTAACCATACTGAGCCCACATCGCTACAGTGATCTCTCTTAAACATGCATGCTTTCCTCACCTTTCTGTCAGACAGAATTCCTCCCCTCTCTCACAGAATTCCTCAGTTTCATCATTAATTCTATACATGATGTTTTTCTGTGAAGCATTTCTGCCTTGCCAGTGTAGCAGTATTTCTTTTAATTGAGAGGGTTAAAGAAAGCCCCATGATGGTTCACGAGGCATGTTCTCTCCTGTCAGTTTTAGATATTACACACATTTACTCTAAGGTGCTTAGTTTCATGAGGATAAAGTCAAAACAAAATATATTAAATGTAATAAATTTTTTTGGTTTCCAAAGGAGACATACTTCCATCTTTATACTTAAAAAACATTGCTCAGAACAACTTTGGCTAAAAAAATTTCAAAGGTCTTGCCACCATTTTAACAATAAACCTACATTAGATCCTCACCACAAATAAATTCAACTTTAACCCCTTTCTAAATCCTGTTAGATTGTCATTATTACTGACACATACATAAGTGTCCTGAGAATGAAAACTAATACCTCTGTTAACAGATCTCATTCCATCCTTTAGAGGGCAGCTAAATTCTGTCTTTGGCAACAAAAGAAAGCAACTGTGGTAGGCCTTGTCTATAGTAAAAGTTGTACTGGTTTAACTTTAAATTGGTTTAAAAAACAATTTAGTTAAAGCACTGCAAAAATCTTTGTGGACATTTTTAATTTCACTTAATCGATTTATCTTAAGTTGGTTCCTTACCAAATTAAACTACATCTATATATAAAACAAGTTAAAACCAGATTAACAAAAGTGCACACAACTATAGGTTTAAATCTGGTCATCACCTAAGGAGTCTCACAGGAAGGTAACATATGAAGCATCCATGGTACCCATTGCTAGGTAGCTAATAAACAGAGTCCCTAGAACAACTACAGAACTACTGTATATTTTTTTCATATCGGACATCCACATAGCAATGAACTGTTCCAGGTCTATCATAGGCCAATCACTAATTGGTGCCCTTGGTCAGGTTGGTGGCATGGGGAGAATGACTTGGGTAGCTGTTTCTTTGCCATATTCTCTAACATTCACTCTTTTGTTTGTGCTTCACAGCCCCTGCTCTGGATGTAGATTGGCAGAACAACACTACTTTTGCCTCCTGCAGTACTGACATGTGCATTCACGTATGCAGACTTGGCTGTGATCGCCCAGTCAAAACCTTTCAAGGACACACAGTAAGTTTAAAGAGTTTGAAATTTTAGGAGTCATTACTAGCATGTGGTAGCTGGTGATGTTAAACAGCTTCTGTGTTCTAGGACCAACGGTGTTTATATCCCTTTCCTTCCCCAAAGACGTACTCTGTAAAAATGACTCTCTGTCTTTGAAAAGAGATTCACTTTTCTAAATCACAACATGCAGGCAAAACCCTCAGCTCACACAGTGAGGGCATTTACATGTAACTGACTCTAAAGACTCAGAGATACATCAGTAAAATTTCATCTTCCGCTTTTGTAATCTCTTTAACAACGTGATGTGAATTACAAGGACGAAGGGAACAATTTACTTTTAACCATTGTTCAGTTGTAGAATTAATTGGGTCGAGTAGGATCAGATCCGTTAAGAGATACTTCCCTTATCCTTCTCCCCATTCCCCACCTGCCTATATACTGAAATATACTCCTCATTTTTTTCTCTTCTTGACTATCTCTCTTTGTGACTATTTAATGGTAGCCACAGGCTAATGTTGCAGACTTTCTTTCACAAGAACACTGCTGAGCTACTCTACCGTATAAAATCACTTTTAGTAACTCTCCTCAACTGGCCACCTCCCCCTGAGGGAGAATTGGTCCATATGGAGACTTGTTGGCTACAATTCTCAATTAAGCTGGTGTTTTCTCAAAAGGTGCTGCTACCTCCACAATAGGCCTTCATCCATAGGCTGATGTTTTCTATTGAGTGGACTGACTGCTCCATTGCACACATGGGCCAAATCCTGCCTCAAATATGTGTGTGCAACTCCTGTTAACTACAGCTGAAATTGTGTGTCTGTATCTGAGGGGGAAACGAGTTAAAAATAGTTTCAGGTAGTATCCCTGCCACCGAGGACTCCACCCAATTACTGTTCTTACAACACATTTTTCTCTTTTAAAAATGCTTTTTTCCCCCGTTACCATGTGAAAGGCCCATAGGAAACAGGGGAACTGACTGACTAGATAGGGGAAACAGTGGGTCTGACTACACACAAAGTGTTGTCAAATACACAAAGTAAGCTGGAGAAAAACAAAGAAAAAAAATGTCCCCTAATTTCCTATAGTTATCGTCGCTGCAGGTGTTATTTGTACAAATAGTGGATAACAAGGTTTTCAGACTGAAAGGTGGTTTGGAAGTTGATCCAGTTTTAAAGACCACAAACCAGCTAATGCTCCAAGTTGCATTTTGTCTTAGTACATTAGTACACACACTGGTATAGACAAAGTACCTCTGGAGAGTTGCACTATTTGAGAACAGTCCGTAGAACTTTGTGTGTGTGTGTGTGTGTGTGTGTGTGTGTGTGTGTGTGTGTGTGCATATGTATATGCATATATATTCTTAAGAAAAGGTAATTGTTAGATGAATGGAATGTCAACCTCAGAAATTGTTTTAAATTATCTACAGTACAGACCCATTTACGTGCGACCCGTTTACAGGCAAATCCGCTTAACGCACGGTAGCGCCATGCCTCCCAGTGCTACCTATTTAACACGCGAGACTCGTTAACATGCAGTACAGGAACTTGCTATGTAGCACTATAGATTTGCTCGCTAACTCACTGACAGAAATCGACAGGAAGTTCGGAGTGGAAACGTGTTGTACTGTACGTCTTTACCGATATTGGTAAAGACGTATCAAGCACACTTAGTCATTGTCACGCTAGAGAGATAGATAATATACAGTAGTACTGTAGTTATATAGTAATATATATACTGTACTACATTCGAAAATTTTAACCATAGGCCTAATATAATGGCAGAGGGCAAGCGTCAGCGTTCCTACACTGTAGAAGAAAAGCTAGCTGCAATAGATCGAGTAAATAGCGGAGAAACCCATCCAAAGTTTCAAAAGATATTGGGATTGCCGAATCAACTCTCCGAGGATGGCTAAAAAACTAATCTAAACTGAATGGCTTTGTACAAAATATCGATTCTGCTGCGAGACTTAAGCGAAAACGTGTGCGCTATTCAGCAAAATCCACAATAGACAAAGCCATGCACACGTGGTTTGTTCAGGAAAGGCTGAAAGGAATGCCGCTAAGTGGGCCAATTCTTCAAGCCCAAGCAACAAAATTTGGAAATTGAATGGGGGATGAATCATTCCAAGCCAGCAAGGGGTTTATAAGTTGTTTTTAAAAGTGTCATGGCATAGCGCAGGTATCGATTTCTGGAGAAAACCGATCAGCCGATGAATTGGCCGCAAATGCGTTTCCCGCCGAGTTAAAATCTATTTTACAAAATGAAGACTACCACAAAGAACAACTTTATAATTGTGATGAAACAGCTTTATTTGCAAAACTGCTACCTGATAAGACTTTAGCTTTTAATTACGAGACACAGAAAACAACTAAATTTAAAAAGATAAAAGATCGTGTGACTCTTCTTTTTTGTAGTAATAAGACGGGCAGTCATGAGCTTACCCCTCTTCTCATTGGCCGCTTTCATAACCCTCGCTGCTTTAATCACCTCAATAGAGCCAAATTGCCAGCAATATACGCTAACAGCAAAAATGCTTGGATGACGAGACACATTTTCGATGACTGGTTCCACAACAGCTTTGTTCCAGCTGTTCGTAAGCATCTGCAGTCGAAGAAACTCGAAGCCAAAGCACTTTTGCTACTTGACAATTGTCCAGCCCATTCTCTGGCCGAATCACTGGTATCGAGAGATGGAAAAATTCGAGTGCTATACCTACCATTCAATACAACATCAAAAATTCAACCTTTAGACCAGGACATTATTCAGAATTTTAAAAACAATTATCGACAGGAGCTGAGTTCGGCGATCGTGTCATGCACGTCTTCAGGCATTTCCGAATTCCTGAAACAGTTAAACATGAAGGAAATTATTTATTTAGTTAAAAAAGCTTGGGATGGAGTAAAACAAAAGTCCATTGAAAACTGCTGGATGAAGGCTCTCAGTGATGCCTTTTCTGTCAAAGACCGCTCAGACTCGGAAAACTCCAGCACTGATTCAGAGCCAGACTTTGAAGGATTTTCAGAAGAAGACGTCCTACAAACACGCACGCAGACAAAAGAGGATAAAGGTAAACTTCTCTTTCAAATGATAAAAGATTTTAGTTTGGATACGTCGCTTGAAATCATAACTGAGTGGCTGGAGATGGATGAAGATTGCCCGATTTCAGAATTTCTGTCCGAGGAAGAATTATTAACGGGCTGCGAGGCTACGTCGGACCGTGAAAGTGATGGTGAGAATTCTAATAATGCAGGCTTAAATGACAGTGACGACGAGGATTTTGTTGAAAAGGTCAAAATTTCGCCCACAGAAGCCCTTAGTGTTGTAGAAACTGTTGTAAGATTTATGGAGGAGCAAAATGCAGAAAATATCGAACTCGTTCATCTGCAGCGAATGACAGACATCATAAGAAAGAAAAAAAATGTGAGCATGAAAGAGCAGAGAATAATGGCATTTTTTTCCTAAGTGAATCATAGATGCTTTTTTCAGCCTGGCCCTCTTAACCCACGGTCCGTTAACACGCGGTCGTGACGGCTTCACTCCCGACATCCGCCCATAAACGGGTCTGTACTGTAATTGTTGCACCATTAAATGGTCTGGGACTAGGGTTTGTTGAATATTTTGTCGTGTGGGAAGAATCTGATGATTGCCAGACTTTGCTCCTGACACCAGTTATGTCAGGAACATGGTAGCTAATTGTGTGGATCATTCATTGACACAAAAAATTGGTTTCCCTTCCTCGTATGTATTTGGATAGTGTGATGTGAAAAGGGATGTGTTCACATGTAAGGTAATGAAGAATGTAATGTAATTTTCAATAGTTTCACTTGTTGGAGTAATAACACTTGAGTGCCCTCTGCTGGGTGCCAGGCACAATGCAGGCAACTTGGAATGTTCACATAGAAAATCAATCTTTATTTCAGAATGAAGTCAATGCAATTAAATGGGACCCTTCTGGTATGCTACTAGCATCCTGCTCTGATGATATGACATTAAAGGTAATGTAATTTGATGGCTTGCCTCCAGACTGCTTAGTATTTTTCCCCAGTAGAAATTTACTTTATAAGATTTTCCATTCATGTTGTGAAAAAAGACCTTTTTGTCTCCGTTTACATTTTCCCCCCCAGCCTGATGCTACCATACTATTAAAACTCTCTGCATGAATGGTGGTTTCATCTTACCATTTTTGAGTGAAATAAGAATGAACAAAGAGAAGCAGACAGAAAACTGAAGCATGCTATTTCTATTAGGATCTACTGTCTAATATGTCACTGTCATGGAATTATAGCAGTTTGAACTGAAGACCATATTTTAGGTCATCCTGTCTCCTTGCCAACACAGGATTGATTCTCACTGTACATTAACAAGTGTTTAACCACCCTAATTTACAGTAAATACACTAATAAGGTTTTCACCATTTCACCTGGAAGACTGTTCCAGTCTAAAACCTCATCCACACTCAATAGTTAAAAAATATAATTGTCAGTAAGGAGTGTGATTTTTTTTTTTTTTTTTTTTTTTTTTTGCTGCTGACGTAGTTATACTGGTAAAAGCCCTAGTGCAGGTGGAGTTATACCACAGTAAAGATGCTTTACCCAGTGTATTTTATTTTGGTTCCCAAACCAGAATAAACTGTACCAGTATAAGCATCAGTATATTTAAAGGGGCAAAACTTTTAAGCGTAGACAAACCCTAAAAGGATCTCACAATTATAAATTATAGACTGAGAAACTTTAAGACCAGAAGGGACCATCATGATCATCATGTTCAGCCTAAATAATATTTTGCTCAGTTTCACCCTCTAACTCCTTGGTGCTTTATACCTCAGATATTTGTTAGATGGTTCTTCTGTTCACCCACACCCATATAAATTTTAATAAATTACCTATCCATATTTAGTCATTTCTCTTAATGATTTTCTCTGAATTTCACCCCATTTCTCCACAGCTTTCTGTTACTTAGATGCCCCAAAGCATGTGCTATTTCCAGATTGTGCTCTCACATTCCTCATTAGTAATTCTACACTGCTGTATATAGCGACAAAAAGTCCTGTGGCACCTTATAGACTAACAGACGTATTGGAGCATAAGCTTTCGTGGGTGAATACTGCATCTGACGAAGTGGGTATTCACCCACGAAAGCTTATGCTCCAATACGTCTGTTAGTCTATAAGGTGCCACAGGACTCTTTGTCGCTTTTTACAGATCCAGACTAACACGGCTACCCCTCTGATACTGCTGTATATGTGGTTCACAAACACATTGGCTTGTTCTCCTGCTGCTAATTTGTATCCAGTGAGTTTGAGCATTATTGCTTTTCCAGTATCTCTCTACCACTGAATATCTGTAATTTGGATTATTTTCCCCCCTAAAGATTAGTTGAGGGTTTTTGGTTTGTCGGGCAGCTGCAGAGCAGTTTCACTATAAAACATGTAATGTCCATTCAACTTATTCTTATTCTGATATTGAAATATTGCCTTGCATAATGGTGCATAAATTATTGATTTGATTCCATCAAACATGCTATTAAAGACATCAGTAAAACAAATCAGAATACCAGCAGGATGCTTGGAACAATCAAGATTTATCTAAGCCATACTTAAAATGGTTTTGATAAATTCACACTATGATTGAAACATGTAATATAAATTCAGGTTAGATTCCATGGCCAGGGCAACAATTGTCAGCTTCTCTTGATCTAGTGAATAAACACAGTTAAATTTGCAAGGCCTTTGCAATATATACACAATTGTCATATACAAACAGAATAGGAAGGATTGAAAGCCAGGAGTTGAGAAAAGATTGCAAAGTTTAGATACATGGCTGATTTTTTTTTTCCTGATTCACCTGACATAGATTTGGAGTATGAAGCAAGATACATGTGTACATGACCTTCAGGCTCACAGCAAAGAGATTTATACTATCAAATGGAGTCCTACAGGACCAGGCACCAGCAACCCAAACTCCAATATCATGTTAGCAAGGTAACATCCTCACCTACTGGTGGTTTTTACTAGGCTCTCAGCAAATAAAACTGAAAATAATTTCTGTTAGCGGATGAGAGGGGATTGACCAAAGAGGGAGGAAACGTATAACAAACATGGAAAATGAAGCCATATAGTGCTTAATTTTTAAACAAACTACTTTAGTAAAAAAATATTACAGTTGCCACTGCACCCAACACCCAGGTATCTGGTTTATATAAATGAATATGTTTAATTGAAGCCCTATAATATATGGATCTGGCAGTCCATTAAACCAACTGGATGTACTCTAATGAGGGCCATCAAGCAAAACTATATAGATATTGATATTTTTTATAGTTCTGTTAAGTGGTGTAGAACAACTCGGGTGGCTGTTAAACTTTCACCTAAAGAAGTCCATTCAAGATTTAACTTCATCCAGTTTTAGACATCTGTTTAATCTTAGTAATGTCAATAGATGCCTGGACGACTGGATTGATTAGCTAATTGGCACATAATGACTTTATCTTCTGTATGATATTCTAGCAGCGTTGTCTCTTAAATTTATTTATTTATTTTGTTGGTCAAGTAGTTTTGTTTTGTTTGGAAGGAAGATTGTTGGGTTTGGGATTTTTTTATACAATACAGGGGATTTCAGCGGTCTTCTCCTAGTCCACAACATTGGATTTAGGTGGATTGTGGTAAGAAACAACGAGTGACTTCTGGGTGGAGGGTGAAAGAAGGTAAAGGACCACTATGCTAGAGAATATGAAGCAAAATTCATTTGTTAGATAAGAGATCAAATCCTCTTAGGAAGAAACTTTCCCTGGGGCAGGTTATCCTATACCTGTCCACTACAGAGTTACTTCAACCTTCCTCCAAAGTAGCAGGTAATGGCCACTGTCAGAGACAAGATACTGGACTAGATGAACAGCTGCTCTGATCCAGTAGGGCAATTCCTATATTCCTACTGCTACCCACAAAACCCCCCAGTGAAGCCAAAAGTTCCAAATACGCACATCCACCGTAATAAATTTCTTTCACTTAAGAGGGTTTGACAGATCTCAGCCCTTCTATACCTCTCCTGTTTGAAGTATTGGTGCACATTTGTTTGTAGGTGAGATGTGTCCTCACAAGTTGTTTACAGTATCTTTGCAAACTGCAGATAAACTAGTACCCTGGTCAGTACTCACTTGTGTTTGACTCTTTCCTGTAGTGCTTCATTCGATTCTACTGTTCGGCTGTGGGACGTTGAACGAGGAGTCTGCATTCATACACTAACCAAACATCAAGAACCTGTCTACAGTGTAGCTTTTAGTCCTGATGGGAAATACCTGGCCAGTGGGTCCTTTGACAAATGTGTCCATATATGGAATACTCAGGTACTCGTTTGATTCCCACACACTAATGAAAAGCGGTTTAGCTGAAACATTAATAACAGAAATGATAAATGGAAAATGTATGTATCTGTGTGCACTGAATTTGTGAACCTGACCATGGCATGAAAACCGTTTGAGCTGATGGTGTGAGATGATGAGCTGCCTGTCCTTTCACATTTTTGCCAAAGGTTCATTGAACATGGAACTGTGCCAAGAAAATCAATTGTCTCAATTTTATGTTAGTGTGTAGCTGAAACTGCACTGGGCACATGAGGCATGTCAAGCTGCCAGTGCAGCAGCCTTTAGAAATGATTGATGCTCCTATTAAGCAGCAAGCTGGGTTCATTTGAGATTCAGATACGCACAGGACTAATTTTTTAAGAGTACTACATATTTGTGAAGAGATCATCATTACAAAGGTTCATGGAGCTGATATTTGACAGGATAACAGGGCTCTGCGATAAACTGGGATACTTGGAGTTACTTCTTTGCAGACTAATGCCCAGAAAGCTTTTTGGGCTCATAGTGACTTCCTAGCAGTGCTTGCTCCAGGAACAAGCTGAATGATTTGAGCTATGCTTGTTTGTACACAGCATTCTTTTTTTTCCCTAGGAAGTAAAAATGTTCAGGACATGAATTTTCAATATTTCTTTCTGTATTAGAAATCGCAGGGACCCTCCTGGCAGTGAAACTGGTGTGGTTCCCACCAGTCGGTGGGGATGGTGGATTTGGGATGGGGCTACAGACAAGTATGTATACACTATGGATCCCAACTCTTCACAGGACAATTGGGTGAATTCCTGGTCCTATTGAAGTCAATGGCAAAACTCTCATTGACCTGAATAGTTCCAGGATTTCACCCCTGGTATTTGTGCCTCACAGTGTAGACACCAATGCACCTCATAGCAAACCCACAATCATAAGTGCCCACATAAAAATAAAATATCGTAAAAGTCAAATCTTGCAAATTGGTTTGCTTTCTAGAGCGGAACTCTAGTACATAGCTACAGAGGCACTGGAGGGATCTTTGAAGTCTGTTGGAATGCGAGAGGAGACAAAGTGGGAGCAAGTGCATCAGACGGATCGGTAAACATTTGTATTCATTCATTGTAAATATTTTGGGGAAAATCCTGTGCCGAGGCCAACACAAGTTCTGGGCACTGTTGCCTTCTCTGGACAAAGCTCAGAGGTGGGTGGGTGTGTTCCCTTATTTAGGGCCCAGTTCAATGCCCCATGAAGTAGATGGTGTCTTTCCATTTACTTGAAGGGGCTTTATATCAGGCCCCTCAATGCACATTTCCTTGATTGCCACCCTTTATTTGAAATATGTTTATGATTAAAGAAACACAAACACTACTGTTTCTTTCTCCTCCATGACCCTTGAAGTGTAAATCCTGCAGATTGTCATGCAGAACCATAACAAGTAGAGATGAGAAACAACTTTTACATCTTCCAGCTCATTAGCTGGTGAATGCAGAATTCTCCCCCAGTCAGTATTCCATGATGCATTATCTAACTTATTGGTAAATTGCTTTATTACAAGATTAGAACCTGAGCGCACACACATTAAGAATCCAGAATAGCCTTCAGAAATGTTTCTAACTCTTGGGTCTTTTCTTTCTACACCTCTAGGTTTGTGTTCTAGATCTGCGGAAGTAAAGGTGAAGTGTTTTAGAAGAAATTTCAAATGGACCAGCAGTGAATGTGTGGGGAGAAGCACTCTTCAAAACTATTCTTAACAGCTCCAGAACTGTACAAACTTGAAAAAAGTTAGTGTGTACAATGAAACCAACTCTCCCTGGCCACAGAAGTCTAGTATTTTGCCCATAACCCTCATCAAGGAGTAAAAACACAGTCACTTCAAAGGGGGAGAGTATGGTTTTCACCTGGAATATTCAGCCTTGGAAGCATGAAGCCACCAACTAGAGACTGCACTGTTTGGTTTGCATCTGAGAACTTGCTTTGATGGCTGAAAAAAAAAAAGCTGTGCCAAAAAATAATAATAAAGAAACAAACTAAGCAAAATGCTGTGATAAACCAAAAGGGAAAAAAAAATCCTCCTCCATGTGGTGGTGTATTTTTTTCCTTCCAATTTGGACACTACAGTTGCTCTCCCAAAGGACATTCAAAGACCAGTTTGTACTGATGACATGCGCAACTTTGTAATCACAACACTTTCTATTTTCTAGACTACTTTTTTGTTCAGTGGTTTTTCTATCAGCTGGAATATTATGTCCTGGAGTATCCCGGGCTTAGGTTGGAACTGATTTTTTTTTTCTTTTTATTTTTCCTTCCCTTTTCCTTCTTGTTTCTCTCTCTCTCTCTCTCCCTCCTTCCCCCTCCTGTGTGCCCACAGTAGATGCAGCCAGTTGGACATGACAACAAAAACTTTCGACAGTCTGCTTCTCCTCTTTCTCCGCCCTCCCTCCCTCCCGCCCCGCCTATTTTTTTAAAATCCTCCATGCTTCAGATCTTAGCATCTCAAGGGCACTTTCAGCAAATTGTGTAATAAGTGCTTTATAGAAGAATGCAGTGCTGGGGAAGATTTTTACAGGCGAAAGATGACTTTTAAGAGAAAGAACCCAGTGTATTTTTGGAAAAAAATATTTTTTATGTTAAACATAATTTTAAAAGCCTAAAATAGCCACCAAACGTAGACTGCTTTGTGTAATTCAAGCAAAAGAATGACTCAAGTGGAATCCAAGGTACATTAAAGATGCAGTATCATTTTCCTCTCCTTTGTCTCATAAAGTTCTGTAAGAAAATGTCATTTCATACAACAACTATCAGGTTTTAAGCAACAATAACCTCTTCCTGCAGCCAGAAGTTTACATGGACTAATTTTTATTTTTGTAGTGGTATGATTATGTACATGTATTAAAAGAATACAGAAGTTTGAGGTTATATATACAGAATTCATATATTTGGGTCCATATACCCAAATACCTGTAGTAGTTAAAGGAAAACAATTGTGTATGCTCTTTCCTGGAGAAATGGTCCCAAATTCATATTAATGCTGCATTCTGTCACTCTCAGTCATGTTCATAGGACTGGAAGGGATCTTGAGAGGTCATCCTCTGCACTCGTGGGAGCTCTAAGTATTATCTAGACCATGCGGACTAGTACCTCATTCCACTAGTCATCACATTGGGCTGATCCTCTTCCCATTAAGTCAATGGGACTTTTACCAGAGATTTAATAGGATCACTCCTTCCCCTTTGGATTCCCCTAGTGTAGGCACTGCAGAAGACAGCTATTAGATTGCCTTCTGGGATGCTTTGCAAATCATGATGACAGAGGGCACAGGGTTGGGGGGCAGAAAAGATGTGCCGTGGGCAGGGTTGCAGCATACGGTGCTGTGGAGATTCCCGGCAGTGCTGTAGACCATGGAGCAGCTCAAGGAGGTGGCCATAACTTAGACACCCTAAGAGCTAAACCATGCCAGGGCCCTCTCCATCCCATGGAGTAGCCCAGGATCAGAACAGTGCAAAAGTGGCTTAAAGCCACCATAGTACCTCCATAGCAAGTTGAGTGCTGTGCCTCTCAAGAGGTGCCGCACAGAATCTCACCCGTTTCTTTCAGTGGGGCTGCCCATCAGGAGTAATTTGTAAGACCCTGACCCATAATGCTTAAAGTGGTGTGAAAATGCCCAAGTTACTTAGTATATGGAATTAATATTTTATTTCATCTGAGGTTTTTCTCTCTTTACTATGACACACTGACAGTATCTTGGCCTTTTCACAGGAACTAACCACGGCTCACACATTGCAAGCCTTGTGATGTACGATTGGAGATCAGAAAGTACTTAAAAGAATTAAACTATTAAGATTTTTCAGTCCTGAAGTAGAAACATTTATGTGGAACATTGGTTATTAATTGCTATTGCTCTTTTTTACCCCCAAAGAATGGAAGGTGGGAAGAAGGCAAAAGTTCTTTTCCTTGTGGTAATAAATCCATAGAGAATTAGACTTTAGGATGCCCAGATGACATTTTTGAACTGTTTTATAATAGCTGCCTAGACTGACCTGTTTAAGCTCAAGATAGGAAAAAGAGTACTTGTTAGAAGAGAGAATTACTCACTAGTGGCATTGTGAGTGTTTATGGTTAGCATTTTAAGCCTGTGCCTATGATGCCCGGTAGCCTTGGGTTGAATTTTCAAGGATAACAGGAAAGCAGCATCTGTTTTGGGGGGCTGCAGAAGACATGCTCAGAAGTGTGCTTCTTCTGGGTTTGCAGTTTGCGTGACTCTTGAACCGGCCAAACATCAAGATGTGGTGATGTCAAGATAGGTGATTTTAGTTCAGTTGCTTTTGTTGCCTGGCTTTCTTGCTACACAGACATATCTAAATCTGATGGAGCCTGTTCCAGGAATTTTAACTGGGAGATACTTTGTGGGTGTCAAAAAAGCATGTTTCGTTTTTGAAATCATCTGAATTAGCACCATCTTCTCTCTGCTGAGTTACATAAAGGAAAGAAGGCAAGTAAAGCACAGTTTCAGAATTTGGCAAGTATCAAATTCTCACATGTGAAAGGCGCTGTTGTCCCAAAGAAGAATTCTGTATACATACACATTTTGTTAGCCTTCTACAGCCTGGCCCATTAACCTTCCTGGAGGCTTACAGGAATTGTACCTTTACTGGCTGCATGGAACTGGCCTTGAGATAAAATGGCAACCTTTGAATACGTGCCCAAGCTCTGCATCTTTAATGTAGGTTACTGCATCTTTAATGTAGAAAACACTGGGTCCCTTGTGGGGCATTAAAGGGCCTGACAGTTACAGGGTTAAACACGCACTAACCCCATGCTACATCTTAGGAATTTCCTTTTGATTTGTTTTTAAAAAGAAAGAAAAAACAAACCTAGGTAATTTTAGAACCAAGTGAAGTGCACTTTGTCAAATGTAAGGGTCTGCTTTGGTTTTGGGGTTTACTTTTTCTTTTTCTTTTTCTTTTTTTTTTTTTTTTTACTTTTTTTTTTTAATTGTGGTTCTTTGTCAATTGCAGAAATGTTCTTTCAGCCACTCACTGAAATTTTGAATTCTGGCTTCTGCAGTTTTTATTGTCTGTGTCAGACTTGCAGCCAGACTTGGTTCTCATTTCAGCATTTCCCAGATTCCATTGAAACAACATCAACCCCTATTTTGTTTCCCCTCCACCTGCACTCTCTCGGAAATCACCTTGTGTATTGTAGCTCATTTGTTTCAAGGAGAGAATCAACAGATCATATTCAGTGTCTTGAATAAATTGCTATATTTTGATATTAGAGAACTCTGCGCGTGTTGTTCCTTTTTCTTTCTTGGCTATTAACTTTTTGCTTCCCACATTCAGGAGCTGGGAGGAATGTGTCAGAATGCAGCATATTTATTGTAGAATTTTGTTTTCCCCAAATGGCCCTTCTATTTAAAAAACACTCTATTTCAAAAGGGGCATATTGAGCAGTCCAGATGGTAAAGAATCAACTTAAGTGAAATGCGTATAAAGCACTTTTATACCAAAATAAGTGTCCATAAAAAGGGACCAACTAAATATGTGTCTAAATCAATGTGGTTAAATTGTATAATTTTCTCACGTAGACAAGGCTTTAAATCCACCACGTTGTTTGAGATGAGGCACCACAACCAGTATAGATGTCATAAATGCAGATGAGACATGCCCTTGACTACAGGTGCCAGTTGAGGTTTTCACAGCTCTCTAGAACATTTAGACAGACATCTTACATTAGTTTTAATGTTCACAGTGTTGTTGTAGCCATGTTGGTCCCAGGATATAAGACAGACATGGTGAAAGAGACCAGCTTTTGATCTCCATGGACCTGAAGAAGAGCTCTGTGGCTCTTGAAAGCTTGTCTCTTTCACCAACAGAAGTTGGTCCACTAGAACATTTTATCTCACCCACCTTGTGTGTCTCATTAATTTTAAGAGAAGATGTGTATTAATCCCCTAGATGATTTAAAAAAATGTAACCACAGTACTTAAGTTCATGCAGTAAGCATGTAAATTCTTTTCTGTTAGCTATATCTAGAGGTGGCTAGCAGAGCTGTTTATTAATCTACCCAACCCCACTACGTTAAAAGCATCTTGGTGCTCCTATGAGCTTGGTGCTCAAGCAAAGTGGAGTTCTGATCCTCCTATCAGTTCCGTCTAATGGTTCTCTTAGCGGCTAACCTATGAGGGGTCCTATATGTTAACCCATCTGGGTTTTCCGAATATGTAGAGTGCCTTAAAATGTACATATCTTAGCTAGAGTTCTGGGATAGTAAAAAGCTTTATACCATGTAAGCTGGTATCTGCAGTGCACATAAGATGCCCCTGTGTGACATATGAGAACATAATCAATACGAGATTTTGTGTGACAGCCTCACTGCACTGTCTGTTCACTCAAGCAAAAAGTAGGATATTGTCAGAAGCCTCCAAAGGAATTAGCTGCCTAACTCATTAACTCCAGCACCAACAACTCACAACCATCTCTAGCAGCATGCTCTATCATCTGGCCTGTCCTTGGTTACCCAATATTCTCTATCAACACATTGTCTAGTCACTGGAGGAGGCTACACTTAGTGGGCATGAAGAACAGGAGTACTTGTGGCACCTTAGAGACTAACAAATTTATTAGAGCATAAGCTTTCGTGGGCTACAACCCACTTCTTCGGAGGCATGGTATGCATCTTGGTCATAGTCCATCATAACTTCCATCTTACCCTAACTATCATGCCCAATGATCTCCTTTCACAAGTTACATCCTTCCTGGGCTCTGGTTTTGATATGGTGTATTTTCATAGAATTATAAATGTAGGGCTGGAAGGGATCTCGAGAACTCATCAAGTCCTGCCAGCTGCACTGAGGCAGGACCAAATAAGCCTAGAACATCCCTGACCAGGTGTTTGTCCAACCTGTTCTTTAAAACTTCCAATAACAGAGATTCCACAAACTCCCTTGGAAGCCTATTCCAGAGCTTAACTACCCTTACAGTAAGAAATTTTTTGTAAAAATTTTTTTTTTTAGTTACCCTCTAGATGCCAAGAAGTAAGCATGACCTATTAATCACTTTTCGTTGGTGTCCATTTACCCTTCATCCCATCAGTAGACACTCAAGAAAAGGCAAGCAATGTCCTCAAACATTTTTGTTGCATTGTTTTTTGTGCAGTTTGTTTCAACCCACACTAAGAAGTATACTGTGAGTTAAAACTAGAAATGTATTAATTTGGACTACTAGTGAAAATGAGTTCAATGGGTCTCACAGAAATCTTGTTAGCAGCCAATAGTCTACATAACAAACACTCCTCCAAAAATTAGGCCTAGCTGCCATTCTTGATTCAAGAGAGGACTGGGAATGCAACATCTGGGCAGGGTGGAAAGTTTGGTCTGAATCTGTAATTTGCAGCAGTATGGAAAGTTTGACTAATACCTGTTTGCACTATAGTTGGTTCTTTAGTCAGCACTGTATTATATTAGTACTTTTTTGAGCAACAATTTCAGAGAAATTTTAAGAAATTAATTACTATTAAGCTAAAAATGTAATTTGTTTCTGCTTTTCCATTTACTTAGCAAGAAAAATACCATTTACAAGTAGCACTTACAACAATGAGCCCGCATAAAAAAGGTACTTCTGGCAGATGCTCATATCTTTAAAGCAATAGAATAAAAGGTGTAATTTATGATACCTATGGCTATAAATATGTAATAGTGCAGCTGTCTCATTCCATGTAGTGGCCTTTCCAGAGCCACCCATGCTTTCTTCCCAGCCCTGTATATACATCCATTTTCATAGTTCAGTAAATACTAGCAATGAAAGGACAAGAACATCTTCACCCATTAAGGTCTCATGCAACTTCATGGATAAAGACTCAAGCTACCCAAAAGCATCTTTAAAAGTTTTAAGGCTCCATCCCAGGTTCTTACATGAGTAAATGAGTCACTTGGCAAGGAATTTGTCATCTTTACTGCCTCCCCTTGTTCCTGACAGGGATATTTCTTTTTATATAGGTTGTTACCAAACAGAGAACACCAGGCAAGAAAAGAGACCAGCCTTTCATGTGAACAACTAAAATCTCTCCAAAAGATGACAAAAATGTTCACAAAAAGGCAA